GTCAGGGCACCGAAGAAGTGCCCGCCAAATAACGCTTTTGGCTGTCCCAGAGGGAGCTCAACCGATCCATAGATTAACACCGCAGTGGCACCCTAGGCAGAACGCGTTAGGAATCTGCGGAGTTTGGAAGGGGCCTCAGAGCATAGCTGATGGAATAAACCTACGTAGCTGGCCACAAGTGTCGGAATCTTTCGTCTCACAAAGTACTGAGCCTGCTCAAAGACGGCCTGAATGACAGAAATGCCGCAGAAGGCTCCTATGAAAGACCAGAACCAGATGATGTAGTCTGGGCGCTTCGGGGGCGGGGTTGAGCGGTAGCCGAACCATCTGCTGAGCCATGACGGCAGAGGAGCGAGGACGTTCCGGTTCAACAGCCCGAGCATTGCACTGATTTCAGAGGATATCAATGGGCGACTTGGAGAGCCGCTGTTAGTGAAAAGGGAGCGTGTGCTTCTGCATCGTGGCGGAAAGTCATGGAAAATCACTAAATTAGCCAATCATTCGGCGATGTCATCCTTATGTAAGCGGTGATATTTTTACAATGGGTGGCCACCCGGAGCGTTTAGAAAACCAAAGCATACTGACGGAAACACGGGCTGAGGATCTCCAGCCGAAAATACCACAGTATAGATTATGAGTTGCGCCCAGCCGGAATCGGGTCCCGGATCCACCTTCGTCCCAAACCGTCTAGAATGAAGGGGTGGATTCGACTAAACCTCCCGTCTGGAAGAGCCCCCCCTCCCCCCCCTTCCAGACCAAATGACATGCTCTAGACGCTGTCTTCTGGTTGGCATGTCCCGCGTTCTTCGCACCTCCTATCCTAGCCACCTCCGTGTGATCTATTACAGCATTGCAAGGGTCTAAGCTCACTCTTCAACGCAGGGCATGACTCTCGTGCGCTTCCTCAGTCACAGGTGGCATAAAGTCTGCCGCTGTCATCGCGATTTCTTTATCTCCTCCGCCGATGACCTGTGGGTGATGTCGTATTGACCCCCCGGATGTACTTACACTCCTCGAAGTCGGTAATGTCATTGTTGATCCGGCTTGACAGTGCCGGCTGACTCGCTCAGCAGTTGCCATTATTAATGCAGTCACTCGAGGCACGGTTTTGTCAATGGAAATAGAAATTCAAATGGTCACGGTCTAGGGGAACTGATCTTTGTGGCGGTCCTTGGAATTGTGTCATCTATCGCTAGTCCATATTTGGCACTAACTACAATGGTAAAGTCCGATCATGGGGGTAATGAACCTCCCCGTATCGTAATTGTTTTGTTATACGCCTATATGTGGTACCTCCTTGGAAGATCTGGTAGGCTTTAGAATGGACAGTTTCCAAACTTATGACAGGCGTATGGTGCGGACTTGTAGGGAACCAGACTTAAAATATGTAGCACGGGTCAACAGCCCCCGCCTACCCGCACATCCGTTTCAGGTCCTCTAAATAATTATATTTAACTCCAAGCACAAAAGTGTACCTCCTTCACGGTCGGACTAGCACTATTCAGATACAACATGCATGGGCCTTTATCCCCCAGCAATTTGATACTAGGCTCGCTGTGAATGCATGATCGGGATGCTTATCATTTGGCAAATGATATCACCGAAGCTCTTGAAAATCCACAATAGATTAGCCACGTTAAACTAGGTCCCCAGTTGCGAACGATGGTGTTGACAGGCCAGTACTTGGGACCGAGCCCTTATCTATTATTCCAAGAACTTGAGTTTTAGGTTACCCTTCGCGTTGACAAATCACTGTAATTGTGGTCGTTGTCGCGGACGTCCTTGTTTCTCCTGTCCTGGCTATGAGGCGTCAGTGCAAAGATCACTACGAATATCACAATTCCCCATCTACATCGCTTTCATCACTTGCCCATCGCACAGCTTGGTTTTTCGTTTGTAAAGTGGCTGTTGCTCTCGGAAATCTGCGGGTTTGGGTTGTAAGTAATCCGGCTTTGAACGCCAGGCACTCATATAATTGCTTCGATCCGGTGAACATCCTTCGTGGAAGTGGGCCTATAAAAATCTCCCTGATCCCATTCTGTCATCGGTTTCTTTTGTCCCCGAGTCCATCATTGCCAAGATATTCAAGAATGAAGAGAGATATAGCTAAATATAACCCCCGATCCACTCCTTTAATGCAACAACATATTCTTTGTACTTTCAGCTCCCAGTACGACTCTTTTTCGTTGGGCCCTTTGGTACCCACCCCATTACGGGTTGTTTAATTTATATAAGCTAGCAGCGTAACATGGGTATGCACAAGGTACCAGAATACCAGTCCAACTGAATCCGGGACGCCCATAGCCAATGTTCCGGATATGACTTGGATCAAGCACAACGATCGCGGGATCTGGATGTGAGGCAGTAGCTTGACCTATTCTAAGTCCCTGCACACCTATTTCGATCAAAATAGATCTACCAAGAAATGGACCCCATCGCGTCATGGGTAGATCCAAGGTCGTTCGTTTGCATAAGGCGCTATCATAGTTTTCTCCGACCACTGGCCCCGAAGACTAAGGAATAGATATGTTACCGTGTTTCATGGAATGGTTAGTCTGTGAGGCTGGAGTTCTACCAAAACAATCCGGGTATATAAAGGCTCTCCAAGTGTCCAACTACTCACCAGTCTCTAACATTCCAACTCCCCAGCAAAATGGCCTCCGTGACCGCTCACGCAAACACTTTCATCTCTAAATTGTCAACTATCACCATCAGCTCTCAGTTTGTTTTACTCGTTGGTCTCGCCACAGCGGCAGTTTACATCCTCTATGAAATACATTACAAGCACAAACTTGCCGACAAGCACGGTAACAAGATTCCTACTGGTCCTGTTGGCCTTCCAGTTATTGGTAAGTCTCCAGCGACCTAGGCATCATGAAGTCTGTTTCACACAGATACCAGGCTCATTCCCATTCCTCACTCACTATCCCGAGTTGACCCTTGACCAGTGGGCTAAGCGCTATGGGCCACTGTACTCCATTTGGCTGGGTAACCAGCTGTTCGTCATTATTTCGGACCCTAACATTGCGAAAGACTTGATGATCACCAACGGCGCTATTTTCTCTTCGCGGAAGGAGATGTTCGTGAAATCTCAGAATCTTCTCACCGGCCGCGGAATTACTGCGACGCCTTACAATGACAAATGGTATGTATCCACTTTTGTTGGTTTCAGGGAAATGTCAACTAACGTCGGTGCAGGAGGAAGCATCGCAGAATTGCAAACTCATGGCTTAATAAAGCCGCCGTTGACAGCTATAGTGAAGTCCTTGACTATGAAGCGACCGTGCTCGTTAGCAATCTGTATACCTATGGAAAAGCGGGGGGTGTACCGGTCAACCCCCAACCACATGCCGGACAGTGCTCACTCAACACCATGCTAACGATCACCTTTGGTATCCGTACGGATACAATTGATCATCCGCTGGCCGCGCGGGCCCTTAAGCTGTCTCGGGAGTTCATGTTGGTATCCTCGCGCTCGTTCTATTTTCGCTTAATCTGATTCCATGTGCCTACCTCATTTAGGAATTGTACTGGACCGATGTCGAACTTGGTCGACTTCGTGCCTGTCCTCCAGAAATTTCCCAATTCTATGACCACTCGCGCTAGGAAGCTCCATTCTGATTTGGTGGAGACATATGGTGGTATGATTCAAGAGATTGAGGCACGCATAAAATGCGGAGAGGATGTCCCAGACTGCCTCGTTAAGACCCTATTGGAGGTCCGAGAAAAAGAAGATCTTGACTTTCTTGACATGGCACTCTTGTGTAGCGGTTTCATGATTGGTGGTGTTGAAACTGTGGGTTTTTCTGGGTCTCGATCATCCCTAATAACACTGATGATATCTCTCAGACGGCTTCTATTATGCAATGGTTTTCGGCCTTGATCCCTGCACACCCGTTTATTCAACAAAAGGCACATGAGGAGCTAGATAGAGTCGTCGGCCGCAACCGCTTACCTGTCTTAGAGGATGAGAGGGACTTACCGTACATCCGTGCAATCATCAAGGTAAGAACTACATCCTTACATGGAGTTCTATTATTAGATATTGATCGGGCCGTATTTTTATCCTTGATGTTTCTTAGGAGGTCGAAAGATGCCACAATCCATTCTGGCTTGGCACCCCTCACGTCAATACCGAGGATTTCACGTATCAGAATCAATTCATTCCCAAGAACACGGTTTTGGTGATGAATAATGTAAGCTATATATTCGTCTTAATTTCTGATTGTCCTGACGACTATCAAAAGTACACCATGCACCATAATTCACAGAGATACCCTGATCCATTTATTTTTAATGTGAGTTCACAGGTTGTCTGTCTCCAAACATACCGCAAGTTGACCTACCATCCAATACAGCCGGAGCGCTACATCAATGACAAGACCTTGTCATCCGAATCTGCCAACATTTCCAACCCGATGGAGCGTGACCATTGGACGTTCGGCATTGGGTACGTTTACATCTGTTGGATATTTTGGATTGGTTGGATTGTGTCTGACCACCCTCGTTTCGCGTTCAGTCGGCGCAAGTGCCCAGGTATCTTGGTTGCCGAGCGTGAGATCTTCCTCGCGATCTCGCGTATGCTTTGGGCTTTTAGGATGGAAGAGGTGCCAGGGGAGCCTATCGATTTGAAAGAATACGATGGGCTCTCTGGTCGCTCGCCTGTGTCATTCCGTATCACGATGATTCCTCGACATGAAAAGGTTATTGAGGTTCTTGGACTTTGACTTGACTATCTAATAGTCCTTGTGCGTTTGCGAAGGGGGGTAGTAGCGTTAATCATATTTCCTCATTCGTATTCTTTATTATTTGAATCAAATAGAATCTTGGACTTAAGTTTTTGAACGCCAACTTACAGTAAGATGGGAAAAGAACGAGTCATTTCTTTGAATGCCGACTTTACAACTACATGGGAAAACAACGAGTGGCCTCTGTGGGCATTCAAGCTTGCAACCATCATCAGAAATAAGACCAGTTCTTTCGAGAAAAAAATGATACATTGCATCAAGGGGGAATTGAACCCCCGGCGGGTCGAAACTAGATTTGAGAATCATGATGGCAACGACCCAGGTTACCACTACCCCATTGATGCATAAAATGACTTGTACCAGGCGCGCCGAGGTTCCCAGAATCTTTCTAATTTCCTCTTAATTTCGGACCAGAGTGATGTTCAGACAATACGATCTCAAGATCTCCTTCCCGGCTTCACACAGTCCGTTTCTTATGGGGGTCTGTCCAATGTCGAGGCCATCAAGACTGCGTCGCTTTGTGTACATCGTAAAATTCACGCCATCGCTCCCGATGCCTGCCATATGTTGTTGAGGGTCGGAACCATCAATAAACCGGTTAGGCGATCAAACTGGCAGCGCATCTTGATCTGTAGGTGCTGGTGGGTGATAACGCGCGAACTTTCAACGAGGTTATGGTTATGGAACATCTCAGCCTCGGTTCGGATCTTGCTAAAAGCTGCATGGGAATAAACACCGGGGTGATCTTATAGTAGGGTGTTTGTTCGCTCCGCATTATAGTCGATGTCACACTGAGCGGGAGCGGGAACGAGAACGAGGATGAAGAGTGGTTAGGTCGAGTTTGTACGGGGAGGATAGAGTTTATGGACCCAAGCGCTCCTCTGAAAACTGCTATTTGATGGAGGGACGGGCGGAGCTGTAAAATTCCATGTTCTTCAATCTGTAGGGGGAGAAAGAGATAGCCGAGCATAATGTGTATATCACAATGGACCTAGTGTGAACATTCCATACTCTGACTGGCTAAGCTACCGCTTTCGCTGAGGACAATCCAACCACCAGTGTGGTTCAAGACAGACGTAGCAAAGTGTTGAAGGAGGATGGTGTGATCGTACTGTGCACTCGTGGATCCGATGAGGGCCTCCGCAAGCTTGACATTTATTGACTTTGGGCTCTTCCGGTGATTCCTTCTCTGGGGTTGCTACCCGGGCGATAGGTTCATTTGTGGCATCTGAACTCGATTCGACGGGCGGCGTCGCCTCGAGCTCGGAAAACAGTTCCAAAAGCTTTTCACGCTCTGACAAAGAGGATGGAGAGGGCACGAGGGCCAGGGAAGATCGTACGAACCGGCTCACGAGGTACTCCCATGTAGGTCTGTGGTAAATGTGTTTAAGTTTTTGTCCTCTTGGTTCGAGGGCCCGTCCGTCTTTATAGTATTGGTCGTACAGTTGTTCGAGGAGGATTGCGAAACGAAGATCGCGACGGGTTATCCCTGGAACACGACGAGAGAGAGGTGGGTCGAGGTCGGGATCTTCTTCGTTCCATCGTGGACGGAGGGCCGAGTCCGTAAGAACATGGAGAGACAGTGTTGGACGCTTGTCGTTCTGAAGAGAAAAGCGGCATGGGTGGTGCTAGGTTGATGGTCAGCGTATATCCGACGGGAAAAAGGAGTTACAAACTTTTTCTTCTTTAGCTAGCGCAGAGAGGTCTGCGATAAATTGAGAGGCGCAGTTGAAGTTGGCAAAAATATATTCAGTCGCGAGGTGGGCGACATATCGGTCCTGGGTGTAGGTCAGTTTAACAATCTTGAGAACAGCAATACTAGATAGCACACATTAGGGCTGGAATGATATTTCCGTGGTAGGAAGTCAATACCCCAACCACGTGCGTAGAGTGGGTAGAGATAGTCTTCAACCTCCTTTCTGATTGTCCAGAAGCTGGGCCATCCCTTTACTGGTGGCGGCAAGCCGGGTAGTGGAGGTTCATCCAACGTCTTAGATGTCACTGGTCCTTTCTGCTGGTCATTGGGTGTCTGCAGGAATGTCAGTGATACGGAGTCGAAGCAATTGAAGACTGCGTTACTTGCCGTCGAGTATGGTCTCTGGAGAGGAAGAGTTGAAATTTGTGGTCTGACCAGTTTATTTAATATAGTTGCGCATTCATTAGTAGAGATATTTCGTCGATAAATGAAACGGCAAGCCGTGCACCGGACGGAATGCATTATGTCGGAGTGAACTTTGAAAGGAAGGGGATGAGGTCACGGGAAAGGGATCACGTGGGGTTAAGGGCCGGACGGGAGGGAGATATACGACGTGTCAGAGTTGATGGATATTCATCGCCAAATCTTTCATGAAACTCAAGGAAATCCACAGGACCTCGACCTTTGCCTGGTCGCCAGAGGCCTCGTTGCCGTTGCTGGCCACCGGCACTGTTGCTGGCGCTCTCGACGAATCTTTTAGCAACGAAAGCCAACTCGAAATATGGGCTCCTGATTTCCTTGACAAGCACGAATTCGACCTGGGTACTGATCCAGCTCGTGGACCAAAGGGTTCTGTGACAGACACGGCCCGGTATGCTTCTTTCTTCCCTGTATTGGTTCATTCATAGGCTTAATGTGTCGTCAGATTCAACCGGCTCGCTTGGGGATACGTTGACCCTAGTCGACCGCGCGGTGTCATTGCTGCCGGTCTTGAAAATGGCGAACTCGCATTGTGGGATCCCGCAAAGATTCTCGCTGGCGAAGGGTACGTATTCCTCTTGCTTATTGATTCAAAACTGATCCAGTTCCACAAATTGTAGGCCAGATTCACTTGTTTTCCGCAACACGACACATACTGGTCCAATACGTGGCCTTGACTTCAATCCAGTTCAAACCAGTCTTCTCGCGTCTGGTGGTGTCAACGGCGAGGTACACCTATCCACATGCTAATCCGCTCTATCGGGACTAATTGCCCCTAGGTCTACATCTGGGATCTTAAAGATCCAAGCAAACCTTATACTCCTACGCCTGGTGCGCGGAGCACGAAGCTTGATGAAATCACGTCCATTGCATGGAACCAACAGGTGCAATACGTTCTAGCCGGTGCCAGTAGTACCGGATATACTGTCGTTTGGGATCTCAGGGGCAAGCGCGAGGTTGTTGCCCTCGCTTATGGCGGAGGTGCTGGGACTCTCGCGGGTCAGGTTGCTCCCGGTGGGGGTTTAGCTGTAGGAGGAAGGAGGGGGATGAGCGATATTGCGTGGCACCCTGACAATGTACGTCCCGCACTTTCTCTCACTTGAGCTATTCTCATTATTCATAGGCCACGCGACTCGTTACTGCATCTGAAGATGATTCGTCACCCGTTATCATGGTTTGGGACCTTCGCAATGCCCGTGCTCCAGAAAAGGTTCGTTGTCGGTGCTTTCAATATTTCGTGCTAATATTGACGGAACGTTGTCAGGTTCTCACTGGTCACGACAAGGGTGTTCTCTCGCTCTCGTGGTGCAAGCAAGACGCGGATCTCCTTCTTTCCTGCGGCAAGGATAATCGTGCATTGTGCTGGAATCCTCAGACTTCAGAAATCATTGGCGAGGTACAGTGTTATTTTATCATTGATCCGCATGTGCTCACTGGTTTTTTACAGCTCCCCTCCCATGATAATTGGGCGTTCCAAGTCGAGTGGTGTCCACGCAACCCTGATCTCCTTGCGACTGCTTTCTTCGATGGAACCATCGGCATCCATTCCATTCAGTCGACCAACGAGCCTTCTACGGACGACAATCGCTCTGCTGTTCCAAAATCCGACGGTTCAGACATCTTCGACGTGCCTAGCTATTCTTCCTCGTCTCCAAGCGGCACCCTTTCCCTCAAACAACCACCAAAATGGCTTCGCCGTCCCATTTCTAGTTCGTTTGGGTTTGGTGGCAAACTCATTTCGATCTCCAACCTCCCCAGTCCTCAAGGGAAGAACCAGAGCAGCGTCGTGCACATTCGACAGGTCGTTGCTGAGCAGGATTTGGTCGACCGCGCAAACAAACTTCAAGGGGCTATTGACGCCAACTCGCTGCAGTCCTTTGCCCAAGAGAAGACAGCAGAGAATGAGGGCTGGAAGGCCCTTCTCAGCCTTTTCAACGCGAACTCGAGGGAAGAACTCGTAACCCTCCTCGGCTTCTCAAAATCTGAGGTTGCTGCCCGTGTCGCTGAAGCTATCGACAATCTCAAGTTCGCCAAGTCGGCCTCCGAGGATGTAATTGAGGAACGCATGCACGAACCTGTAGTCTCTTTTGCGGAGCCTGAACGTCAAGAGGTTTCGGATGATGATGAAGCTGCCGGGGATAAGACTCCTTCAGAGATAAGCGCCAGTGTCACCTCGGATGCTGCGAGTGGACTTCGTGCTGATGGAGAGTCAACGACGACGGTCCCTAGCCTATTTGGTGATGATGATGGACCAGGAACCCCCCAAAACGATACTGGTGCTGACTTCTTCAACACGGTTGGAGTTGCCCAGGCTGACGGCGAATCCCATCCTGTCCACGTTCCCCATATGAACTACGGGCTTGACTCTTCAGTTGCTGCCACCATCGGTTCTGGACCCTCGTCTGTGACGTCGGAGGCCTCGAAGAACAATAGCTTCAAGATTTACCCTGCGGAGGAGTCAGAGACCGACCGTCTTGTCACGAAGGCACTTGTTCTTGGCGATTTCGAGTCTGCTGTTTCGCTTTGCCTGTCGTCAGAGAGATATACCGATGCCATCCTCCTCGCCGCCCGTGGTGGCCCTGACCTCCTTCAGCGCACTCAGAAGGCATACTTTGAACGTCGTACCACTGCCCTGCCCTACCTCCGCCTCTTCCAATCCATCGTCACCAACGATCTCGTGGACATTGTCCAGAACGCCGATTTACAGGAGTGGCAAGAAATCTTCGTCGTCTTATGTACTTTTGCAAGTCCCAAAGATTTCCCTGGGCTTGCAGAGCAGTTAGGTGCTCGTCTTGAGTTCCAGTTTACCGTTGCAAAGAATTCGGAGGATCCCGACGCCCAGGCCAAGGCTGGAACATATAGGAAGAACGCGACCCTCACCTACCTTGCTTCTGCTCGTCTAGAGAGGCTAATTAACATTTGGATTGAGGAATTAGCAGAGGAGGAAAAGACGTTGGTGTCTGGGGATGGTGCATCGGCTGGGTCATATTACTCTGCACACGCCCACGCGTTACAAAGCTTCATTGAGAAGGTTACTGTATTCCGTTCAGTGACGAAATACTCGGATGATAACCTAACCGCTACTTCCTCTTCCACGACCGATACTGCTGCCGTCAAGACATACAAGCTCGCAAATCTTTATGATCGTTACTTCGAGTACGCCGACTT